AAATATATTTTATTGATTTTTAGAAAGGAAGGGAGAGGGAGAGAGAGATAGAAACATCAATGATGAGAGAGAATCATTGATTGGCTGCCAATCAATGATTTTTATTTTATATAAAATATATATATATATGTATATATTTCTATCTCTTTCTCCCTCTCCCTTCCTCTCTAAAATCAATAATAAAAATATATTAAAAAACAGTTTAAAAAAAAAGAAAACTATTGACCCTTCCTATTTAAGATATGACTCCATTTATTTGCCTGCTTGTATATGGTGAGTTCTTCACACACACTATACAGTTTATTTGTAAGGACAGTGTTATTCGTTGTTTCTATTGTGAATGGGATTCTGACCCAGTGTGCATTCTGATCTGTTGCTTAGGTAGGAAAACCGTGGACTTTTGTCCCTTCATTAAGTACCTGGTCATCTTACTGAGTTCCTATTGTTTTTAGTTTTTTTCATTTAATTCCTTATATATTTCAGGTCTATAATTATGACTTACAAATAAGTTTTTGTCTCCTTCCCAAGATTATTTCTTTTATTTAGTTTCTGATTTGTATTATCTACTTCTCCCCAAACAGTGTTAAATGAGAGCAATGATAGTGGGTCTCCTTGGCTTAATTCTGACTTTAATAGGGATGATTCTAGTTTTTCACTATGATTTGAGCCTGTTTTTTTAATTTTAAGTTTTTTACTACTAATGGTTGCAATAAATGGTGTCTTGCTTCCATAAATGGTGTCTTGAACACACTCCGTGTTTGAGTTGTGTTTTTCTTGTTGTTTTGCGTCCTGTTCTGTGTATAGCCGAGCCGCTTTGTTGTCGGGTCATCTCTACTGGGCGTGCCAGGCTCGCATGGGGCTGCCCTCCTAGGAGTTATCAGAATGCACACTTGTCAGGTATGCTTGCAGTGTTCCAGTTAATAGCTTCTCATCGAAGTTTGAGATGAGCCTGTGCTGATGAAGATTTTATTAACATTTTAAATGTGGGCCTAAAAGTGCTCTGGCCCACTGCTGCAGTCTGACCCTTTGCTGATGGTTTCAGGGCACAAAACTTTGGGATGGAGATGAGACCCAGTTGTGGAAGGACATTGGTGTCACACCACTTGGTTCACCACTTGTCCATTGAATTTCTACCACTACACACATTGGCGTGTCCATTGAATTTCTACCACTGCACACATTGGCATGTCCATTGAATTTCTACCACTACACACATTGGCGTGTCCATTGAATTTCTACCACTACACACATTGGCGTGTCCATTGAATTTCTACCACTACACACATTGGCGTGTCCACTGAATTTCTACCACTACACACATTGGCGTGTCCATTGAATTTCTACCACTACACACATTGGCGTGTCCACTGAATTTCTACCACTACACACATTGGCATGTCCATTGAATTTCTACCACTACACACATTGGCGTGTCCATTGAATTTCTACCACTACACACATTGGCGTGTCCATTGAATTTCTACCACTACACACATTGGCGTGTCCATTGAATTTCTACCACTGCACACATTGGCGTGTCTGTGGTATAGAGTGGTTTGCAGAGTGGTGTGTGACTCGGGACACAGAACATACTTAAAATGACTCCCCTTCCCCCCAAATTTAACTGAAATATTTCAAACATTCAGAAAAATAATAGTAAAAATGATAACATATAGATAGCACAGTTCGAGTGCTTTCTCTCCCTCTATTTATGTATTTTTATATATTAACTCACTAATTCCAGCAGATAGATTGTATTATCCTTATTTTACAGACAAAGAAACTGAGATTATAGGTAGGTAAAGTAACTTGCCTAAAGTTACATTTTGGCAAATCACAGCTGGGATTTGAACCCAGGCAGCCTGGTGCCAGAGTACATGGTCTTAACTAATACAATACACTCTGTTGCCTTTCGGAAATACAAAAAGTATTATCATATACATGGATGATATTTAGCACCTAATTTTAACAAATGTTAACATTTTACTATATTTGTTTTCAGTTAAAAAAACCCCATTGCAAAAAAAGAAGTGTTTTCTCATCCTTGAGGAATTGTATTAGACCAGCGGTTCTCAACCTGTGGGTCGAGACCCCTTTGGGGGTCGAACCACCCTTTCACAGGGGTTGCCTAAGACCGTCAGAAAACACATATATAATTACATATTGTTTTTGTGATTCATCACTATGCTTTAGTTATGTTCAATTTGTAACAATGAAAATACATCCTGCATATCAGATATTTACATTACAATTCGTAACAGTAGCAAAATTACAGTTATGAAGTAGCAACGAAAATAATTTTATGGTTGGGGGTCACCACAACATGAGGAACTGTATTAAAGGGTCACGGCATTAGGAAGGTTGAGAACCACTGCACTAGACACTATCTTTGGTCTTTTCCGGACCTATCAGATTGCTTTTCAGCATTGCCCTTTCCAACACCGCCCTCCCTCAGCACTGTGACGTGATTACTTTTTCTTCTGTCTGGTAAGCACTCATTCAGCAGGCATTTTTGGAGTATCTGTGCAGTGGTAGAAATTCAATGGACACGCCAATGTGTGTAGTGGTAGAAATTCAGTGGACACGCCAATGTGTGTAGTGGTAGAAATTCAATGGACAAGTGGTGAACCAAGTGGTGTGACACCAATGTCCTTCCACAACTGGATCTCATCTCCATCCCAAAGTTTTGTGCCCTGGAACCATCAGCAAAGGGTCAGACTGCAGCAGTGGGTCAGAGCACTTTCAGGCCCAAGGCCAGGCACTGTGCAGGGTGGAGACACAGTCAAGAAAAAGGCCCCATTTTGGTCATGATGCAAGTCAGGATCTTAACAGCATGGGAATGTGGACTTACTTTAGTGCAAGGGGTTGTTCAAAACACAGGCTTGGAAGCGCTGATTTTAGTGTTTGCTGGCCTGCTTGTTAGACCCTGTAGGCTTCCTTAGCCCTGGGTCAGTAATTTAGTTTATTTATATTTATTGTCTGCAGTAAACTCCAGCGAGATGGTTGAATTGGGTATGGTCTAGAATTGTTGCAGTTCAGTATGTGTTGACTTCCTTCTGGAAAGCCCTCGGCTCTGGGTCGGCTTTGAACCCACCCTGTGGGTCTTGTGGGCCACGGGATGAGGAACTGGTGGGTACACGTGTACTTGGGTAATTCATGGAAATTGGGAGGACCCTCAGGTGGGTCTCAGGGCCTGGGCCAAGCTCTTGTGACACCAAGCCCTCTGATCCTGGGATACTGAGCAGTAAGATGTGATTTAAGTGGAGCTGACTTTTTTTTTTTCATCTTCACTCTGTTTTGAAAATAGTAAAATTAGCTGTTAACGTAAAAAACCATTGAAACCTGTAAAGAATTTTTGTGAGTTTATTTGAGCCAAACTGTCGACATATGCCGGGAAGCAGAACCTCAATGAATTGAGATAATGCTTCGGAGAATGGCGGGTTACATCTGTATTTATATATTGCAATCAAAGGAAGGGACATAGGTGGGTTACATGAAATCCATTGGTGATAGACTAGAGCAGCGGGAGAAAGCAAAGCAGGGAAACCCCAGGGATTGGATAAAAAGTAAAATGATAGACAAATATTTAGGTGGGTGCAGGAACAATTAACATGATAATAATGAAGGAAATTGTGATATCTGTCCTGGCGCCCAGCACATTAGGTTGTGCCCCAAGGGGCCTGGAAAAAGGGAAGTTACAAGTTACCCAGACATTTCAAGGGTATGTTATTATAGATGCAAAAAGATATGCTAGTATAGGCTCAGTTAAGGTAAAGGTTGACCTTGTCAGTGAAGATACTGGCCTAGGACGTAACTACTCACCATAACAGCTTTTAGTTAAAGTTTAATTTCAGACCATCCTTTGTTAAGGTCTCTGAGTTTGCAAGACCGCCATGCAGGCCTTCCCTGAGCTTGTCAGGTTAGCATGTGGCCCCTTTCGTCCACATAACATATATTAAAAATATATTTAAAAATCATTAAATTAATTTATTAGAATTTGGAATGTATTACTATATCAAAAAATTAGTATCAAGCACCTTGAAAGAATTTTTAAAATGGAATGAATTAATAAAGTCACTTTCAGCACTGCCATCAAATGTTTTACTCATTATATGCATCACTACAGAATGGGGTCACTGCCCAGACCTCACTGTTCATACAGCAGCCTGATCAGGACGGGAATGGGGGTTGCATATTGAGATTTGGGTTTTTTCCTGCTCACTGGCTGTTGGGCTTTGGTCAGCTTAATAAACTCATTAGTGCCTCAGTTTTCTCATCTGCAAAATAGTGATAATATTTACTTTCTTCACAGGTTTTTTTGGTAAAGACTGAAAGAGGGTAAAAGCACTCTTAAAGTTATTAGGGACACACAAATGTAAGCCTATCTAATAAAAGAGTAATATGCAAATTAACTGTCACTCTGCAACAAAGATGGCGGTGCCCATAGCGGCCGGGGCAGGACGCTGGCGGCATCACCCCGGCAACGTGAGCCCAGCAGGCAAGTGCGCCCCCAGGCAGCACCCAGCAGGGCCTGCTTGGTCGTCACGGCGACCTGGGAGCAGGCAAGCAGGGCCCGCAGGCAGCACCCAGCAGAACCTGCTTGCCCATCCCTGTGGTGTGGAGCAGGCAGGCCCTGTAGAGAGCAGAGAACCACGGGGAGCGGGCCCAAGCCGTCAGTAGGACATCCCCTGAAGGCTCCCAAATTGGAGAGAGTGCAGGTCGGGCTGAGGGACACCCCCCTCCCCCTGCACGAATTTCTTGCACCGGGTCTCTAGTTTATAAATATATGCATACAGAATCTTTCCAACAGAAACAAGCATACTATTTTACGTTTTTGTAACTGCTCGCTTGCCCAAAATTAGTGATTCTCAGTCATAAATTTTTTTAATTTCAAGGGAATATTTTGAGCCACGATATTCTAGGACTTGGAGAGCTTATAGTAAGTGGGATGTAGAAGAGAGTATCGTTTTCTAAACGTGTTGATGACTTTGTGCTTTTAGGTATACCAAGCTTGGCTACGCAGGCAACACTGAGCCCCAGTTCATTGTTCCTTCATGTAAGTAAAGCTCTTTCGAGTGTATAATAGATTGTTTCGCAGAATTGTTCTAAGCATTCTAATTCTGTTTTGTAAGGTATACCTACCATCTTCATGTAGAAGTTGTCCTGGTTCCTGGGGAGGGTTATTTATTTTGACACCTAGTTCCTGAATATTGCTATTGGCTGCAGCTGCGACCTAACACCCCATCCCCACCCCCCCTTTCTGACAGTCCTTTGTCATTGTCATTGAAGTTTCAGCTAGGGTGGTTGGTAGGGGCTGTGCAATTCTAAATGTCTGAATTATTTAGAAGTGTATGTGTCTCTTTAAGAATAATTTGTTATTTTTAAGTCAGTGCAGTGTTATTAACTTAGCGACGTTGTGGACTGAATATCCATTGTACTCACTGTTCACTCTATTGAAAGACTTTTATTTTGAAATGAGAGGCCTGATGACTGTTTTACTGTGTTCAGAAGTGTTCTTCTTTTGTTTAAATTTTAGTCAGTAGAGAATGGTAGACTGAAAGGGCATGCTCTCACAGTTTGGTAGCAGTGCCTCCCACCCCCTCTCCGTTTCCCATGGGAGTCTCCAGGCTTAGGTTGGTTGTTGAGAGGGTAGAATTAGTCTCTGAAACGATTTAAATTCTGGAGATAGTTTACCAAAGAGTGAAGTGTAACCCAGCTGGTGTGGCTCAGTGGTTGAGCACCGACCTGTGAACCAGTAGGTCATGGTTCGATTCCCAGTCAGGGCACATGCTTGGGTTGGGGGCTCCATCCCCAGTGTGGGGTGTGCAGGAGGCAGCCGATCAGTGGTTCTCTCTCATCTTTGATGTTTCTACCTCTCTCCCTCACCCTTCCTCTCTGAAATCATTAAAAATATGTTAAAAAAAAAAGAGTGAGGTGTGTTAGTTAAGTGGAACTCTGCCTCCTAAGTGTGGCTCTGGTACGAGAAGCTGCGACCTTAGAATCCGAGCTGCTCTGGGGCCGGTGACATGGTGGTGACAGGCTGACCTCACACCTGTGCTTTAAAGCTTTGGTCTTTGTTTTATTTTTTGTCATGTCTTTCTTTCTTCCTCCCTCCCTCCCTCCCTCCCTCCCTCCCTCCCTCCCTCCCTCCCTTCCTTCCTTCCTTTTAAAATTGATTTCAGAGAGGAAGGGAGAGGGAGAAAGATAGAAACATCAATGATGAGAGAGAATCATTGATTGGCTGACTCTTGCACACCCTCTACTGGGGATCAAGCCCGCAACCTGGGCATGTGCCCTTGATTGGAATCGAACCTGTCATCATTGGTGGGGAGGGGAACTGAATCCTGTTGTTAGAGGGATTTTGTTCACTGTCAGGAGGTGGGGACTCTCAGATTGGTGCTGCAGTGTTTGCAGTGGCAGAAGCTGGAGAGAGACTAAAATGTCAGGAGTGGGAATGAAAGAAGAGCTATCCTGTTGGCTGAACTGTTGCCAGAGAGCAGCATAGGAGGCAGGTAGGTGTTTGGACAGTGAAGGTGCTGGGGCAGGTAGGGAGGGGCCTTGCTTACTTGGGCCCGTGGCCCACTGCTGTGTTAGTGCTGGAGCTGAACTGTTCTTCTGGTTCCAGAGGCTCTGTTCACAGACCAAGGCCAAGACCCATGTGCTGAAGTGCATGCAGAGAGAAGGGTGTGTGGAGAGTGCCGGGACCAGGCTTTCTGACCAGGGGTGCACAGCGAGGCACTGGTGTGTGGGGGCTGGCAGCACTCGATAGTTTCTGAAATCACAACTCTGAGTGGACGATGGAGGATGTGGAACCATAGAGAGGGCCCAGGTGATGAAGGATTTCGAACCGCCTTCTGAAGGAGTTTTAATTTGTATACCAGGGATTTTCAAATTGGCTCTGCGAGGTCTGACTTGCCTGAGCCTCTGTGCAGAACTTTAAGTTGTCGGAGAATATTGGGAATCACTGACAAGTAGAGGGCGTGTGTGTGTGTGTGTGTGTGTGTGTGTGTGTGTGTGTGGATCACAAGCATAGAAGGCAGGGCGGGGCGGGAGAAAAAGTGCAGCTCAGACATTTGGTGTCTGAAGAGTTCGGTGTAAAGGTCCAGTAGGCACCGGGGACAGGCGGTTAGGTGCTCTGGGGGAAGCCTGGACTCGAAACAGAGGCTGA